ACCTACTGATAAATTCACTCGCATAATTTATCTTGTTTAAAATAACGAAAATATGGAATATTTTTGAGGTTAGAATGTGCATGAAAAATGAGAAGTGAAATCAATCGATTTTCACCTTCTAAATTTATAACCTACTGATAAATTCACTCGCATAATTTATCTTGTTTAAAATAACGAAAATATGAAAAACTTTTGAGGTTAGAATGTGCATGAAAAATGAGAAGTGAAATCAATCTTTCTAAGATTTATGTGTATAAAAGGCAAGTTTGTAATACACTGGGCACGAAGGTGATAATCATACGACAAGGCAATTCATTGGTAGCACAAGGAACACGTGTAATTACGATAATGATCATACTTTTTGTTCTGATTTCCTTAAGAGGCAAGACTTTTATTCGAGAGGTTAACGTATGCATGAAAAATAATTAACATTGAAATTATTAATAAGAAAGAAATATCCTGGAATCTGATATGATTAGTTGACTTTCCGGTTTACTTCAAATTCATCACTGATAAGTTCTATCTAGAAAAATATGATAAACACAAAGAAATATCATCGTTGAAAGGGCTATAACTCGAGTCGTCAATTTGGTTTGGGTATCGAACTGATGCATGTTTTAAATTTTTTCACGAAATGAGGATTTTAGTTAAGAATGCACCATTTAAGCTACAATGTAGAGCTTAAGGAGTAGTTTCTACTCTACTTTGGTTACTGTAATAGTATAGTTTGTGGAAGCGATGTAGCGAGGTTCGAAATTAAAGAATTAAAGGGTTATAACAAAGTTTGGGAATTTTTTTCATAGGCAACTACTAAATGAAAAATTTCAATTTTTTCACATGATATAAATGTAACTGTCAACTATTTTCTCCAATTTTTAAAAAGTAAAAATGTTACAAAATAGAGTCTCGACACCATGTTCACTATGGCTCCTGACCAATTTTACGACCTCGCTATATCGTGACACGTACTAAACTTTTTATACTCGTAGAATTCACTAGTCTGACTGTTTAGAAATACAAAATTGACTTCTCCTCTACACCTCCACCTATAAAAAAAAATTATTTCCATAATCATGAGTCTTTTTTAAATAATCTTTTCGTTTATTACTTGAGATAATTGAACACCCTGTATCTTCCAAATTCCAATCATACAATTAAATTGTAAAACCTACATTTACGACACGTTGTATATATCTTCAAAGTACTTATACTTACGTGTGTTTGTAAAAAAATTTATTCAGTGTATTTTAATACCAAATTTATTATCTGCCACCGTTGTTGTAATAAACGGTAAGCTAATTGTTTCAGTACAATAAAATTATTTTACAGGTTTGCTAAGTGCTTTGTTTCGTGGAACAGATTTAGTTCCTTCAGATGTGATGGCAGGATGTATTCTACTGAGAATTCGACAGAAACGGGAGACTCATGAATTACGCTTGCTAAATCTCCTTATTCGTCCGGTGTACACTCCGAGTACGTATTTTTTTATTCTGCATTATTTATAATATTTACAATTTTCTTCAAATCATATTTATTACAACGTTGAATGTAAGTAAACATTGTAGCGGAGCATACGGTAAAACAGTATGTAAAGATTGAGGAGTGTGATTCCTCCTGGTGCCATCTATTGATTGGGTAACAAGGTCATGGATGGCGCTGGGAGGATTATTGGGCGCCAAAAACGAGGCCCGATCGTCATTTGTTTCCCCCGATGAGCAGATTGTCGTGCTCGGCGTCGATGGAGAGAAAGACGACACGCGCTCGCGTTGTATAAATTGTGAAAAATAAAGTGCTTCACCTAGATTATAACCCTTGCGTTATATCATAATCACTATAATAAGCAGGGGGTGTTATTTGTGAAACATTATCAACAAATAGTTATATATTTATTTTCACAATTTTTTATACAATAATATGATTTTTTTATATAGAAGTTCTAGTATATTAAAGTATAACTGATTTCCAATAAAATTTTTGAAAGTAACAGAAATAATGTTTTCCATGTTTTAAAATTTATTCGGGTTTCTGCTCAACGCTATAGAAACGAAAATGTAATTCATGTGGGCGACGGGAGAATAAATGTACATGTGGTCGCGCTTGAAATCCGTTATTCAGACAACCAGGCGAAATGTCTCGTGTCACTTTTGGCCGTTGACTGCCCTTCGCGGCGTCGATCGGGATTTTGACTGCCCTCGGAACGGATCTCAAATGCCTCTTCGCTTTCCGAGGACATCCATCGGTATCCGCCCGCCATGGTACCGACAGCGACGAGCGACACGTCCGTTGCGTGACTTTTCGTTTACGTTGTATAACAATGTGGCGCCATGCGCACTGCAAGGCCCGCCATATTCAAATATAGCACATTTTAGTTAATTTTTTTTTCGCACCATATGCATTAATTTACTTATCAATGCATGCTGCTTAATATGTAAATAATCATGATTTTGCAAATGTAACAAAGTACCAAAGAATTCATTTCACGTCGGTGCTCGTCGTAGTAATGAATATGTCAAACATACTTCTAATTATGTTCTTATAAATTAAATTAAATAAATTTCAAATATTTACTGTAAATTCGGAAAAATACTTTACTTATTGTATGAAATGTATAGTTATGCAAAATATAATTATATTTTTGTTACAGACGCATCCATCATTTTTAAAGATACACCAAGTTGGATGTCCTTGGAGAATGCGGTTCATTACATGAAACTTTCTATAGCCTGTTACGGATGGTTATTCGTGCTCTATCAACACATGTGTACAGGATGCTGTCACATTATGCAGAATTTGACTTGTTGCGCTTGCTTTCGGTGAGATCGCTAAGGCAAAATGTTACGTTAACCCTTTCGTTACTGCTTTGAAAATTTCTTTGATCTATGCTGTTAGAGCTTTTCGGTGTGCTTACATCTTAATTTCATCCTTAATTTCATCTTTTGCACATTTTCATTTAAATTGAGCAAAAGAAATTTTGAAACGATGCGGCCAAAATATAAAATTTTCATTTGAATTGAATGAAAGAAATTTTAAAACTATGCGGCCCGTTGAGCACGAGATTCAATTGCAGGGAAAGGTAGCAAGACGCAATTGTACGGTGATAACACAAACACAGATCTTCCATTACACGATGTATAAAACGTGCAACGCACGACTCTCTTCAAGAACAATTGAATGGTCAACCGAGGCGTTCCACGAGACGCCGCAGACCATCTGGGCGCCCGAGCGTCGGTAACCTAGAGAACTTCCTCTAGTCTAACACGGCCAAAATAAAAAACTGTCATTTAAATTGAATAAAACAAATTTTAAAACGATGCGGCCAAAGTAAGAAATTTTCATTT